CCTGCACCATAACACACACGTTAACACCTGTCACCTACAACACTACTGTAGCCACCTGCACCATAACACACACGTTAACACCTGTCACCTCCAACACTACTGTAGCCACCTGCACCATAACACACACGTTAACACCTGTCACCTACAACACTAATTTAGCCACCTGCACCATAACACACACGTTAACACCTGTCACCTATAACACTACTGTAGCCACCTGCACCATAACACACACGTTAACACCTGTCACCTACAACACTACTGTAGCCACCTGCACCATAACACACACGTTAACACCTGTCACCTACAACACTAATTTAGCCACCTGCACCATAACACACACGTTAACACCTGTCACCTATAACACTACTGCAGCCACCTGTATCATAACACACGTTAACACCTGTCACGTATACAACCTATGAAATAAATTACAGTACTGTGCTTCAGAATAGCCCTCGACAAAATTATAAAGAACAATGGAAGGATCCTTCACAGGCCTCTAGTCTCCTTCCCATTAAGTAAATAAATTCACACTCCTTACATGACATATAGGTGAACAGAGAGGAACCTGCCCCCACGTCCCCCAGCATGCAGCATTAGTTAAGAATCATAATTCATTGAAGATTGTTTTCTTCTCCCTAGAAAATCAGCAATTCTGATAACACAAACACAGACATTAGCTAAGCTGAACCAATCAAAATACCTGCCTGCCGCGTGGTGCTAAGTATTGGTTGGCGTGCCACATTTACAACTTAAATCACAAAAATACTACATCGAATCTTTGGCCTTAGCTTAAAAAGCAACCGACGTTTTAACCAAATAAGAAAATATTTACTCTTTCGCTATGAAACTATACTTCCACGTCAACATTCAACCCAGGTCAACCCAACCCATTAACAACCCCGTCAAGCAACCCGTCAGCTCACTCCTTCATTCAAATAACATAAACTTATGTTTGAATATAAGTAAATCGTGTTATATTAACAATCTCACTTCTTGCCATGAGTCGTTGCTATCCACATACCCCAACACCGAGATCCTCTACCTCAGGGATTTCAATGTACATCACAGAGAGTGGCTTGGCTCTGCAAGGGATGACCCAGGTGGAGTTGAGGCACACTATTTTTCCTTACTTAATGATCTGGAACAAATAATTAAACATCCTACACGATCATTTTACTAACAACCTTGATTTTTGTTTTACCTCTAACCCCTCACACCATTCATAATCAATTTTTGCCCTCTTAGGGTCTTCTGATCACTATCTTATTTCTATTAAATCAAACTGAGCACAACCACCTCCCCCACCCCCTCTAAACGCCAACTATGACAATCCTTGCGAGAATTCTTCTCCGACTTTCCCAAGGATAAACATTGCTTTTCCACCCGGGACGCCTCGGTATGTGCTGACAGCATTGCTGGGGTTATACAGGGTGGTATGAGTGCATTTATCCCATCTTCTACCAAAACTTTCACTTTACAATCATGGTTTGATCGCTCCTGTTTCTCCTGCATGTTAAGTTAGGCTTGAAAATTTATGTACCCTGATATAAGAGTCATTAGGTTTAGTTCCTTTCGTACTTTTATCCTTTTCTGGTTAGGTTCGGCCTGGTTAAAAATTATTCCTCTACCAAATTTAGGATATTCTTGAGTAAAGGAAGAAGTTTTATTTTATTGAAAAGATTCTTAATGTTACTCGTTAACTGGCGCATCTCTTCTAAAGTATTACTGGGAAACATTCTTCCTTTAAAATTTTGGGTAATTGTTTAAGAGTAGGTTAAGTTAGGTTGTTCTTGAGAAAAGGAAGAAGCTTTCTTCTTCTTAAAAGAATTCTACCAAAAAGTTACCTAATGTTCCTCGTTAACTCGCGCACCTCTTTTAAAGTATTACTTCGTAACTTTTTAAAAGTTTTTGGTAATACTGTAGTTACATTAGATTGGTAAATTATGAAATTTGTGAATAACAAACATGGGCCAGCACCGATTATTCTAATGTAAACCTAAGGAACCAAATCTAACAACTAATTTAACATCCTGGCAATGTAACCTCCAGTTTGTCCAGTCAGGAATTCCTGGTTAAGCAGCCTCTTCCTTTTTTGTGGTATCTTTCATATTTTATAATGTTTTTGTTGTTTTTGATATTGTGCTTATATTAATGAATATGAGCAGTTGCTTTAAGATGTAGAAGCTTGTCTGGTTCATTTTCATAGTTTACAACTTTTGCAACAAGGCGATTTGAACAATTCATATATTTGTTTCTTGGTCTCCCTAAGTTCTCCATTTCAGCATTTTGTACTTACAGGCGAGGAACAGCCATGTCACGCTTCAGACCACTGAATAAAATTCAGACAGTTGGATGAGCATAAAGGCGCATTAACCATAAAGAAATGTGGGAACCTTCTGCAAAAATTGCCAACTATGAAAAAGAACCAGATAAACTTCGATATATTTGAGCACCTGTTCATATTCAATAATATAAGCACTATATCATATAAAACAAAAACAACAAAATCATCATAAAGAAAAGGGGTCTGCATAGCACTCCACAGGACTGGAGGTTGAATTGACCAGGGTTGAGTTGGCTAGGAGTTGGGTTGACCAACCACTTGAAATTACAGTATATGTACATAAATTAAGTTAGGGTAGGTATGTTAAGGTTAGCAACGATACTACTCTTTTATATTCTGTTTTGTAAGATTTTAACCAATCTCACTAGATGTATATGAAATTGAATTTCCGAAAATAATTTAATTTCATAATTATCCTGATATATATATATATATAATATATATATATGTATATATATATATATATATATATATATATATATATATATATATATATATATATATATATATATATATATATATATATATATATATTACACTAAATAGGTAAAATTGCCATTTAGCTACAGTATAACTTCTATGTACAGTACTTATCTTTTCTTGGAAACTTCAGACTGTCCAAGAACGATCATGTAGATCATAAAAATACATATAAAAGAATAATTTCATACAAAACCTAACACAGCCTATGATAGTAAATGCCTTAAATGAAACCGAGCATTAGGGCGTTTAATCATAGATGAAATAAGCTGGTAGGGTTAATCTTCAGGTGATCCACAGAATGTGCAATCTCACATCTGCTGTTCCATACATTTGTTTAATATATCTAAAGAGTTAGAGAAGCAATGTTTCGCTTACTGTTGATCTGAAGCTTCAAAACATCTACAGCATCTATGCATCACAGTTTAATAAAAAACAATATAAGATTGATTTTTTTCAGTAATTTTCTATATTTTCGTCTCGAACACTGATCTACACTCTGGTTAACCTGTGATACTGCTCCTACATATTACCACATGACGCTGATGTCAGGGTACCCTTCCATGCTCACCCTCGGCTCACCAAGTGACATACTGCACTGCCATTCTATAGATCACAGAATAATCATAACTGTTAAAATTTGTAGGAGTGACATATAATAGTAGACTAGTGAACTTACCATACTGATAATGCCCAGGGAGTACACCCGCCGCCGCACCTTGTTCCTTTTATCGGCAGACTGCATCCTTACTGTCGTGCTACCCAACAAGCACGAATGGCTACACCATTAAGTGTACAACAAACACCACCACGACTGATTGCACCACAAACGTCACTGTTTCAACTCCAGGACCGCTATATCTAGGTACTGAGCTAACTGGAAGCAAGACTTGGCCAGGCAGACAGCACCATGGTTCACATACGCCACGCTCACTCCGTGTTTACATCAACTGTCTCATTTGTGTTCGAGCTGTACCTTTTGCTTCAGTGCGGAATGCAATTAATAAACTGATAATTTAAACATTAATTTTGTTTTCGAGTTACACAAAGAGTATATTTATAGGTGGGGAGCGAATTCTTTAACCTGTTTAAGTTAGGAAGGAGCCAACAACAGCAATGTACTGGGTTGGGCATATGGTGACTCCCTAACTCACACTCCTTATCACTTGGCTCTTTATGATAAGATAGCTTACAGCCTTACACGAGTCACTTGTAACGTTGTATACTACGAATATTGATTGGAAATAATCAATAATATTGGTTACACATTCTCTGAATATATCTTAGCTTCTTGTGGAAACTTTACATGAATGAGCTAACGTCTCCCGGCTGATTCACTCTGCTACTATACCCGCTAATTGTTACCTATACGCTCTAATAATAAACTCGTTTACCTTGGTAGTATTGTTACCTAATTATCGGGTAAAAAGATTTAGACAACATAAATTAGAGTGCAAAAGTTATAATGGATTGATTCATTTTTTCGTTTTTTCCCAACAATAATCGCCGATAGCATTATTTTACAAATCTCACGTCACAACCGTCAAGATACCAAGTATTTCGTGGCAGCAGGTAATTGCCAACACTACTGTATTATGGTATCACATCGACTTTCATTTTTTTGTTAACCTAACTATACAGCCATAAAATTGTTGTATGGAGGGAGATTCTTCAGGTGATTCAGTTGTCTTCTGATGACGAAAGGTTTGGGACATTCATTCTCTCTAATTTCATCTCTTTACCCCTGAACAACCATGGACAGATGCAATGAACGATTTTCATACATTCCTTCAGATCATCGTTACCTCAAGGTCCACCCCCCTCCCCCACCCCGCGAGCTTGCGGGCAGTGTGCCACCGGGGATTGGCAGGTACTGCCAGAGCAAAACGAATCCTTAAACATTTTTTTTTACGGGGAATAGTCCACCCGGGCACAGGTCATCGACCCACAACGGGGCCTGGGTGGGGTAGTAAGAGTAAAAAGAAATTAAAAATAGAAGAGAAAATGATTACATTCATCTACACCATGAAGATGCCGGAAAACCAGCTTTTTGAAGTGAGACAGATTGTATGAGTATGGAAACACAAAAGAAGGCAGAGCATTCCACAGTTTGGCTGTGTGAGGAAAGAAGGAAGTTCTATAACGGGTTATTCTATTAGTTTAAAGGAACATGAAATGTGAGGAAGTCTGTAAATGTGTGTAGGGAAATGAAAAGGATGCATTGAGGTATTCTAAATTAAGTCATGTAAGATGGACAGGTTCAAATAGCATTAGCTGGTGAAGAATTTTACTTCATATATTCAGGTGGTGAAAAGCATGAGAAAGATATTGACATTCTTGTAAGCCAGAAGTTGAGCAACAGTGTAAAGGGATATTCGGCAGTATCAGTTTTGTTAGTCAAGTTTAATGCTAAACTCACGGACTTGGTAATGATACAGGTTTATGCAACAACAAATGATAGTGAGAATGAAGTTCCTGTCATAGAAACGGAAAGATTGGAATCTAAGGGTTGAACTTATGACATAAGTTTCAACTGGAAGTGATAGTAACATACAGTAAGAGTAGTTTACAAATGAAGTTTTGCAAAAAGTACCGTGATCTGAGCTGTAGCAGAAGATTTCCAGAGAAGTGAACGTGTATTTTTAATGTTTTTCTTTTCAATCAGTGTAAAACGATCAACATTTATTAAGTATTCATATATAAATTGAGGGGGAACCAGTCCACACAAATATGATTGATTCAGAGGCAGCAGGAGAGTGGTGCTGCCCCGGGACGTCCTCAGTCTGCTGGTGACTCTGATAGAACTTCCACAACCATGGTTACTGCTCTTGTTACTACTCCTACTGCCGTTGCTGTTGCAATTACTGTTGCTACTGCTGTTACTGCTACTGCTTCTGATGTTGCTACTGGTTATGACTCCTCTCGTTGTCTCAAGTTAGGAGTAGTAGAGGTAAGTCTTAGATTTATGTGTGTGTGTATGTGTGTGTGTGTGTGTGTGTGTGTGTGTGTTTTATAAGAATTCCGATCAGCCTTCAGTCTGTACCTCTGGTAACGATTGCCAACGTTGACTACAGTGGCCTAAGATGAGAGAGAGAGAGAGAGAGAGAGAGAGAGAGATGCTTAGAATATTTTGTAAATACATTCATTAAATCTTTTGTAAAAATATTCGAAGCTAACACCGTTTGGAGAAGTACTTATACTGTCAAACTGTTAAAAGCCGGCATGTATCAGAGAGGTACTCAAAATTCCAAGCATTTTGTGCATTGAAACTACTGTACATACCCACATTCTGCAGTGTTTGCTGAAAGATATAGCAACGTCGTAAAACGCAATCAGAGTATCGTCCTTGTATCCGAGGGTTGGCGACCACAGTCCTCCACTAAACGTTCTCGGGCTGTTTTTAACAATTATTCAAGGTTTTGAAACTCAAAAAGTAATTTAAAAACACCTTAGTCGCCTGCGTTATGTTTAGAATCCGTAAATAATTGTTATATTTTTTTGATTAGATGTAATGAAAAAATTATATACAACAGAAATACACTATTTCATTTTAATTATCGTCAGTGAATACTGCATTATTTTTTTGTTATAGGTGCTTCAACCACGAGGGATATTAACCCTGATTTTTGTCATAGTTTCTTCAACAGACAAATTATAAAACTCCACAATTAGCTGATGAACTTATTGTGATTCTCCCTGCAAATACTGTAGAATGTTTATACATTATTTTTCACTTATTAATCCATATATTTGGTGTCTATTAACCTCTGGCTGTCACTAAGTTTGTGTCTGTGGCAGTTTCCGGGGTTTCTGCGTGTGCGACAAACACCACACAGCGGGCTGGAGGTGTCCGGTACATTAACCAAAGTCCACACCATCATCGCTTCTGCCCTCAACACCTGGTCAGTACTTCGCAATCTTTTCTTACTGGTCAGAGCCTGACACTATGGTCTTGTTGCCTCAGTTCTGGTGCCAGCTGTTAAAACCTCATGGCACCAGTTAGTCTCCCATTGTCAACGATGAACCAGTTAGATAGTCATTGCTATAGCATCTATAGATGATTACTAACTTTATTTGCTTGCAGGTCAATTTGGCAACCAGTCCCAAAAGGTTTTTGTCTTAATGAGCCTCAGACTAACCTAACTAAGATGATTAGGACAGGGCCCCATTCTTAACAGTCATATTGGAATGGAGTCCATTTGATGTATCACCCTTCAAATACATGTTTATTTACTCAGCAGCTGCTATATTCATCTTAACAGCACTGACTATGATTATCTAACTCAATAATCTGGTGTTTTAACCATTAGTGATTATTGGTAGATTGAATTTTTTTTGTGTTGGCGGCAGCGTGGAGTACGAGGTGCCCAAGGATGGTCTCTTTGGTAGTCAGCTCGACAACAACGGCAACTGGACTGGAGTCATCGGTCAGGTTTCACGCAAGGTCACTACTGCATCTCAAAAACTCAGTTTAAATTGAGTTTGATTAATCAATATGATTTCTTTAAATAGGTGTTCATCCGTCTTTGACCTGGTTGAGAACTTAAGAACAGTCAATGGGAGAACAAGGACTTTCAAGAGATAAACAGTGTCATAACATTTTCTGCTGGGTACATATCTCATTTCAATAAGCATGCGAGAAGATAATACAAATTGTACCCGTCTGCCCGTCCTTACTTATGCTTGTATATATACTGCACTATACTTCCGTCTTACTCAAACCGAAGAACAGAATGAAGCAAAAACTCTAGTGCAGAAAAATAAATTTTCATAGGCAATTTTCTATGAATCCATGGATTACTCGATCAAATTTTTAACTGTTTGATTATTATACCGGTTTAGGCTTATAAGTTTTTTGGAATAGAACTTTTTTTTTTATATTTTAATAAGGCAAAAACATTTAAGTTGGTGGTGTTTGTGTGGGTGTATGCAGGAGGTGGACATGTCGGGAGTGCCGATGGTGCTAGACATAAAGAGGCGGATGGCGACAGACAGCAGTGTATGGCTCTACATGGATGAGAGGGTCCTCGCCTACAAGCAACCAGTACCCGAGGCTGACCTGGCAGGCTTCCTCAAGCCTTACACCACCATGGTAATGCTGTGTGTACCTGTATATAGACGAGTACAACGAGTGTAACGTAAACTTTACCTTTATAACTCACGTAAAATAAGAATATACTGTACCATTGCGTCATGTTGAAGATAAATTTGTGTCGTTGTCTTAAGAACTATTCAGTTACTTATTCGTTATAATATTGCAGTAATTTCATATTTATTAGTATCAAAGACTTTCCTTAGACTCAGGGTAATAACAAAAACGTCTTTTAAATTTCTAGAATAGGAGTTTTCAACCTGGGTAAGGATCCTCCTGGAGTACATCTGGGGCTATTCTAGTCTATTATGGTTTTGTTTTTTATTCTACTTAAAATAATGATTAATATGACTTAGAAGAAATTCTGCTTGCATGGAATCAAATATTTCAGTTTTATTCTGTTGTACTATTAAGTATAGATTATTTTATGAAGATTTAAATAAAAAGACATTTCGTTTTCCAGGTTTATGTAAAGGTTCTGTGAAAGCTTCAACATCTGATAAACCCCCAGGCTAATTTGATACTGAACACGATGTTTTTATGTACAGATGTGGTGTATGATTATCTTGGCGCTGCTGGCGGTTTACGCTGCTCTTTGGTTGACTCAGTTGTTCGAGGTCCAACTCTTACCCCACACACCGTAAGTTTGTTGTGGTCTAGATATTCTTGATTCATTAGTTCCAGGTATTCAGCTTTCTCGACCACTGATAAATTTTTATGAGGATTATGGGCGTAATGTCGAATGACTCTCTCACTTCTACTTGTAAAAGCTTTTTTTCTCTCTTTAAGTTCCCGCGATTCCTAAATTTTCAATATTTCCGCAAGGATTTACTTATTACCCATATTCAAGAAAAATTTATGCCTAGGCATAATTTGGTATTATAATGTTTGTAAACTAGGTGTTTTGATTATTTTCTGTCCCAAGCAGCAGTTATTTTGGCAAGCTTAGGGAAATTTACTTGTATATATTGATGTATTACTTATGTAAGAATATTCTAGAATGCATTGCATCATTTTGTTATGATTTACTTACGTATTGTAAGCCTAGATAATTCTAGAACTCTCCGGAAGTATCTCTCGTTCCTACCTGGATATCGCTAGAATGCTCTAGGCACCTGACGAGACGTATAAAAACACTCGCGAGCAAGCTTACCTCCCTTGCCCCTGGAGGACTGAGGGACGTCTGTCACAGGTTAAGCCACAAACCAGCCTCCGCAAAATGGTAAGCCCACCTGCCATCATTCCCCTTCTGTACTTCCCACTTCTTAACCATACCTTACCCTAAATCTCCTTGTTCACCTCAGAGCCACGTCTCTCTTATCTCAGTGTTCTGCCTGACTGGAGTAAGTCGACCGTTTCTGCGCAGTGTGAAGTACAAGCCTAATAGGACAACTGAAGATAACTGTTGTGCAAGTATTGTGGAATTGTTGTGAGCAATATAAAAGTGAAAAGACTAAGGAATTGTACACTGGTAGCGTGCTGACTGTGTATTCGAAGTGATAAGTCCAGCTGTGAAGACATTACCCTGTGAACATTGTTGTGAAGAATTAGTGCTTATCAAAGAGGACTACAGTGCACAAGTGTGTTTCTGGGACCTGGTGGAAATATACCTGCCTGTTATTTGTCTGTACACTGATACCGATCGTCGGGAGATTACCGGAGACTGGCGGGACAGCTAGTGGTAATTCGACGACACTTGTGATATATTTACTGCTTCTGTATATACGACCTGGCTGATGGTAACCAGCGTTGGAAGCTGGGTAAGCGGTGAAAGGAGGGTCGTAACAATATATTTATGCCTGATGGCGGATAGCTGAACAACCTCATGTACAGTACACCCATTGTTAGATTAGGTTGTGTTTTTCCTAAGGCCTGACAACCCGTTCGGTGCAGTGCTGATATGGAATACAGATTAAATCCTAAATACAGAACGAGGCATCGTTGGGAAGGACAGGTGGGATGTCGTCCTTCCATCAGGATGGGCGAGTAGTGAAGTAATGTTATTGACTACCGAGGCTAACAGTGTGTGTAGTACCCATGGCGTGTTCCTTAGTTCAGGTTAATGAATACGTATTTCCTTGTCGTTTTAGGGATAGTTTTCAAGTAGAGGCCACGGCAGGACAGCTTGTGAAAAGGGAGAGCGGAACTGCGAAGAATTCGGTAGGGCGAGGTAGGAGAGGGGAGGACGTTGTGTGGACATCATGTCTGTGGTCATTGACCGCCCCTCTGGCACAGTGTAAGTGGTGAACATTTCTGTGATCGTCTTAGTAAGTTCAAATACACAAACACAAAATCAAGTCCCCCTCAGTTGTTTACAGAAGGTGAGAGTGTAACATACTGTAAGTGTGTAAAAGTTGAGTGTAAGTTGTGTAAATTCATAGGTCTACACACTTTGGGGCTGCAGGGGACAGACTGGTGCATCAGACGATACAGACTGGTCATGAAGCCTACTCCTTTATGACCATTTATGGGCCATTGTGGCAACTCTCCCATTTACTCCACCAAATAATGAAACAGTAGAAACCATATTAGCCTGAATATTGATTGTCGGTCTTTCCTCTCTGATGTATACCACTTCCAAGATCTGTACTTTCCCATGGCTGTTACACTGAGTGATGATCTAGTGTTACTCATTATGTTTTCTCTTGTCAGCATGGTACCTTGGTGGTATAGGTGATGGTTCTTAATTCCTCCCTGTTACAGGTGCAGTAAGAGACGGTGGCAGAGTTTGTTGGTCGTATCGCCAATGTAGTTCAAGTTGCAGGTTTCACAGTCAATGGTCGAACAACAATACTTACAAACTACATCAGTGTGGACCTCTGAGTGTATAAATGTGGGTTTGTATATTCATGAATGTATTAGAATGGTGAAGGTGTACGTATGTTTACATACATGATGTAGTACAAGCATGGTGTCCCCGACAGCGTCATCGTGGTGGCCTCGAGGTGTGAGCGTGCGGGTAGTGGCGGGCGTGTGGTTACTGATGGCTCTGGTATTCAGTTCCATCTATCGGTCTAATCTTAAGGCCATGTTGATCCTGCCTCGGGTGAGTCTGCCCTTCACTAACATGGAGGAGCTCCTGCACACCTCCATCCCCTGCTACGTCCCTCAAGCTACTGTCCTACACGGCCTTGTTCTTGTAAGTACTGTATACAATATGCAAATTAAAAATACCTATGTGTATATCTTCTTCAAAAAGTCAATTACAAAATTTTCTTGTCTACATGTTATTTAGTTGCGAGAATTTTTCAATTTTTCTAAAACATTATATGGCCCAACTACTCATCCGATGGTAACTTCCTAATTAAAGACGAAGAAGACATCCGTCAGTGCTGGAAAGAGCATTACCATTCGCTGCTAAACCGAATCACCGATGTGGATGTCCTGACTACCCAGCAGGTCCCTCAGCATTTAGAACTATCCTCCATTCCTGCAGGAGGTAGTTACTGCCATCAAACAAATGAAAAATAACAAAGCCACAGGGTTTGGTGGAATCCCACCCGAGATGTATAAAGCAGGAGGACCTCTACTGTCTCCCACTCCTGGAGAATATATGGAAGAAGGAGGAAATCCCCCAAGATCTTAAAGACGCCTCCATCGTCAATATTTATAAGAATAAGGGAGACCAGTCAGACTGTGGCAACCAATGCAGGATCCCACTGCTGTCCGTAGCTGGAACGATTATCGCCCGAGTCCTCGGAAACAGACTTCTTCCTGAGGCGGAAAACTTCCTCCCAGATTCTCAACATGGCACCACTGACATGATCTTTGCTGCCCGCCAGATACAGGAAAAGTACAGAGAACAGCGTCGTGACTTGTACATAGCCTTCATTAACCTTACTAAGGCCTTCGACTCACTCAACAGGGACAGACAAAACGACTGAGGGAGTCGTTTTGCCTGCCCACCAAAATTCATTTCCATTGTGAGGCAACTCCACGATGGCATGAACGGCAGTGTCCTACACAATGACACCCAGTCTGAGTTCTTCCCCATCCAAACGGGAAAAACAAGGATGTGTACTGGCACCAACTCTCTTTTCAATTTTCTTGGCTGCCTTTCTTTCTCCTGCCAGTGCACATAAGCCCCAGGTTCTCTTTCAGCCTGCCCCTGGTTCAACCACACCTCCATCATCCATCTAGCTTAATGATACTGCTCTTTCTATTATTACCCACTTCCAGTACTTTGGCTCCCACCTGTCCATCACCACGGACATCGATGTGCATCTCAAGCATTTGGCAGACTCTGTACCCGTGTCTTCAGCTGTCGGGAGCTGTAATTAACTACAAAGCTGCACATGTATCGAGCAGCGGTCCTCCCTACCCTGCTGTATGGCAGAGAGATACGGGTTACATACAGGAGGCAGCTCAAGGCACTTGAAAACTTTCACCAACGTAGTTTACGTTCCATCCTCCGAGTTTGCTGGGAAGACAAGAGAACAAATGTCATCATCCATGAACTACGTTGGACTGGCCATGTTACCCGCATGGATGACAGTAGGCTGCCAAAGCAGCTACTTTATAGTTACCTAACGAATAGTAAACGTAACGCTGGCGGGCAACTGAAAAAGTATAAGGATAATCTTAAGACAAACCTGAAAAAGTGCTAAATCGACCCCCTTCACCTGGGAGACAATCACTCTGTGGATGGCCCTGTCGATCCCGTGTCGGCCTCTCGAGTCACCTCAAAACTCATCAACGAAGGTGACATCCTTAATAACTCATATCATTGTATCATAGCTGGATGATCGTCATACTCAATTCCGAGTGACAGCAAAGTAGTAGTAGTGTGTGTGTGTGAAGCAATAAACCGGAGTTTGAATGTTGCTGCTGAATGGCTGTCTTAGACTGGATAAGTACTTTCAAACAATTACATTAAGCCTATTCACAGTATATTGTGGTCACTTTAATGTGGTGTTGCTGCAGGCGGCAGAGCCAGGGAGTCAACTGTACCGTCTGAGGCAACAAATGATTGCTCATAGAAACGTCCGTAAAGCACGGCAAGATACACTACGGGGGAAACATGCTGCCTTCTCCACTCGCCTTGCTATTCTGAGCATCCTGCACGACACCTTCGCTCAAGTGAGTTTTCTTCATTATCGGGTACACATTAAATATGTTAACTTTCTATGTGTAAATTGTTAAATGAAAAAAATAAAATGTATAGATAAAAGATAATCTCAAGACACGAGGTTATAGAGTTACCTATTGAACCAGAGAGATCCTTATGTCTGCTTACTTCACACTGGTATAAGGGAGGTCAGAGCTGTAGTCAATACCTGACAAACATCCAGCAAGACTCTTGTAAGTACCTGAACTTCCTAAATGCAGATGAAGTCATGGAGATCTCAAGGCTGGCGGTGTTCACTGGCCTCATCTTTATATTTTACAAGCTGTGGGACAGCGGCATGTAACCACATGTTTCATTACAGACAAGGTCGTGTCCTTTATACATGGCTTCAGCTGACGTCTTTGGGGGCACATCATACCAACTGGCCTTCCCCAAGGGTTCAACCCTCACACACAAACTCAACAAACTGTAAGTCACACTCCTCTGCACCATTAATTTTTACCTTAATAAACGCAGAACTTTTATCTACAACTTGAGAAATAATCAAAGAAACCGTAAGATCCTGTAACTTTAAGTTGAGAGACATAAGAAAGACGTAATGAACTCACTAGAATTTACTAAAAAAAGAACTATTTCCATTAGGAAGTCAGTCGAAAACAACAATAGTAATATCAACAACTGACGCAGGTTATGTAATGCAGGTTGACGAGGCTGCAAGAGGCAGGTATCCTGAAACACTTATACCTGCAGGGTATCCGCCACGCCAGCGGGTGTCTCAGGTCCATGTCGGCCACTAACGCCCTCTCCTCTACCACTCTCAGGCCGCTCGAACTGGGCGACTTCTACGGGGTGTTTTCCGTGTATGGTGGAGGTGAAGATACTTGATTGTTAGAACACTGAAACACGCGCAAATATACACAGTCTTTCATGCATACTCTTACATTCATGCGAGTATTATAGTTATACTGTTTCACACATACACGCGCGTCCTCACATCCATACTTTTTCACATACACACACGTTCTGTCTCGCTCACATTCACACGTGCACAATCACAAACTCATACGCGCAAATGTAACTACACACACTCATAAATACTCACACAAGTCTAAGAGGCAATGGTCTTTGTACTAATTAAGGGAAATAAGCAGTTATTATATATAATAACCGTGATAACAATACACCACTTTTTTATATTCTGTTTCCATGATTGTTTTATAATATTCAAATTTTAGAGCTGTAGACAGCGAGAGGATTGTGAGCATGTTGGCAACTAGACTCAAGAGAGGAAAGCCTTTTCATAAGTATCATATATATTCACCTTGACATCCCCAGGTTATAGGGTCAAAGGTCAAAACTTTAAAAGGTCATAGCTCTAAAATTGGCTCCATCCGACAAGGGTTGTCACCTTGCGCGAGTACTGTGTAGTTATGATAGAAACATTTTGGTTGAGTCAGGATGTTTGTAAGGCTGTCAACATGTAGTAATTACTGTGGCTATATCTTGTGATGAAGCTGTATACTTGTACTAACTTTTTTTTCACAATAGTATTTGATTTTGATTAATTATTTTTAACTTTTTCAACAGGAATGTTTCTTGCTGGCCTGACCTTACTTCTGGAACTGTCAATAGGCAGTTATAGGCACTAACACTACTTGTGGCCATATTGTTGCACTCAGACATCAACATTAACCATTAGTGACTATATTACTGCACCCAAACATCAACATTAACCATTAGTGACTATATTACTGCACCCAAACATCAACATTAACCATTAGTGACTATATTACTGCACCCAAACATCAACATTAACCATTAGTGACTATATTACTGCACCCAGACATCATCATTAACCATTAGTGACTATATTACTGCACCCAGACATCAACATTAACCATTAGTGACTATATTACTGCACCCAGACATCAACATTAACCATTAGTGACTATATTACTGCACCCAGACATCAACATTAACCATTAGTGACTATATTACTGCACCCAAACATCAACATTAACCATTAGTGACTATATTACTGCACCCAAACATCAACATTAACCATTAGTGACTATATTACTGCACCCAAACATCAACATTAACCATTAGTGACTATATTATCACACACCAAATTGAACACCAACATGTAACGGACAGGTCATCACAGCAGACGTCAGCGCTAACTTCCGGCGGCCATACTAGCGCTACACATAATAGTGTTCGTGGGCTGGCTGAGTTATCAGTGATGGGTATTCCTTATGTCAAATCTCTGAAAGCAATATGAATCAGCGCTGTGAAGAAACTAACCATATCCTCCCATCAGTGTAGTGACGTGTGTGTGTGTGTATGTGACTCATTGACTGCTATAGACATGACACTCCTCTAATTATCTCATGTAATGGCCAATAAAATGATGTTATGAAGTCACATCTACGGCGTTTGATTTATTGGTGTAGTGACGCATGATTATACGTTGTGCAATAATTGTATGTAATATAACGACACAATAAACAATAAAACCACTCTCATCAGTGTAGTGTTTCGTTAACACTATCTCGTGTATACTTGTCATTGGTAATGCTATTATGACTAAGATGGTTTAGCTTGGCGGGCTATTGATCGTATACAGTACACCCAAACTCCAGGTAAAAGAGACAAGGTGATAGTGCAAGAACTGGCTGGTTGATCAACTTTTTTTATTTTGAGGTACTGAAAACTATACCTAGGTGTTAATATTGTTGACAGTTGACGACACAAGGAGTAGGACCAACAGAGACCAAGGAAAGGGAAAGCTTGTGTGTGTTACCTATTGTATGATGTGAAGGAATTTAAAGATAAGTTTGGAGAAATCTGTACCATTAAACTGAGATACCTGTGATGTGTGGATGTGTGGCTTCCATGACATATTAGAGGAAATGGTGAGGCTTAGCATATATATTTTAGAAAGCAGGATATAAATTATAAATGGATGATCAAGTGTATTTTAAAAGAAAATTCATCCAAATATTTCACGGATAAATATATTAATATGTAATATTTAGGTATAACCCCTGTATATGTATATTGTAAAATTTTGAATATTTTTTTTTTTAGAACTTGGCAGAATGGTTGCGTCCTGAAATGTGAATGGTGGGAGATCATCTAGTTGGAAAGTGTAATTGGTTAATACTGTGTTTTATTACTATTGAATTTAACCAAGTTTTTACCTCCCCATTCGGAGATGCTGCTCAGATCCGCATTTTTTTTTTTTTTTTATTGGGCACCCCCCTACATCTTTGTGTAAGGTGAAGCGCAGAAGCGTTTACAGTGCCCAACAGGGAAGCACGCTAAGTTCATGCTTGCCTTTATGTCTCATGAGTTAAGGGCGTAGAAGCCTGAAGAGTCAAGGGCATAGAAGCCTGAAGAGTCAAGGGCATAGAAGCCTGAAGAGTCAAGGGCATAGAAGCCTGAAGAGTCAATGGTTTATGTCATCAAGTTATTGGAAGCTCCAACAACTTGTCCCTGAATACGAATTCGCAACTTTCGATTTACAACAGGTACCTACTTTATTGCTAGGTGAACAGGGACTAATGGGGGCTAGGAAGTATGTCCAAACAACTTCCACCGGCCCGGGAATCGAACCCGTGACATCTCGCTTGCGAAGGCAAGAGCGGTACCACTCTACCACCAGCACCCCCCAGATCCGCATTGATAGATGAAATTCTGTGTAATATTTTTTAGTGCATCTTAATAAAGAAGACATTAATCCAATTTAAATATGAGGTCAAATGATATGATGGAAGTAGGTTTTTGCATATTTCATGTTTCCAAACTAAGCTTATGAATTTTGATCTAAAAACAATTTCTTGGTCCACTCACGGATTTGAAATTTTGAACATGGTTCTCTAAATGCTAAGTCTCTAGTCCGGAGGATGACTGTACATTATCTCCAGCCCCTCCCCTGGGCCAAGCATCAAATCTTCCCCCTCCCCCACAAAAGAATAATGTTCTAACTCAATGATAGTCAACACCGATACTTAGCGGCCATATTTCTTCACCCAAACGTAGTCGTTGAACACATCGTAAATACTGTATACTTAACCTTTACAAATTTGTGTGAGCCAACACGATGACCAGCACACATTTCCTACGTTATCTTTAAGTAATTATAATATAAGTACTCTACAATTTTTTGAATAGATGTAAGTTGATATCCCGTCCACTCGCTTTGTTTTCTCCTGATACGGTATCTATTTTATTTTTACTCACGCACACGTTAAGATGCAGGGTCGACACGAACGCGCTCAACATTGTAGGTAATATGTGGTGGTAAGTGTGTTATTAACGACGATGACGATGTTGTGAAAACTACACGAAATGTTTGCAACATTGCTATAGTGTTGGGAACACTGTCGCCAACAGAAATGTGTAGCCTAAACTGACTGAAGTGGACTGTGATTATTCCACCTTTCTTTCCAGTCATGTTGGTGTCTTTTATCCAACACGGTGACAATATTGTTGCATTGGTGTGGATCCACCTTTAGTACGTGGTTACACACACTGCGCAGACATTCGTTTCTTCTTACTCTACTCTTTGTCCATACTAGAAAAAAAATGTAATTGAAATACACACTATGTAACTAAATTGTATTTACTCTGCGGTTGATGGATGACTAAATGTATCGTTGAGTTTGAAGCTGATTGGAGCTACATATACCTTACCAACAAAAGACGAGTTGTTTCATACACCAAGACTCTTTAAAAAGAAGTTACAGGTCAACCAAAAGGCGCGCGTATGTATAAACCACAACGGCACAAGGAGGACGTTCGTTGAAGCCATTTGCTAGAGCTCAACAGAAAATAAACGATTACTGTACTTTTTTTATCAATTATCCGGACCAAGCCAATGGAGATTAACTTGACTTTAAAATTCTGAACGTCCATAAGTATGCATGATGTGTTAGCCTCCCCTCCACCCACTTCATGGAACGACCCATTAGGTTAAACTTAAAAAAAAATATATAGATATACATAAGGTTGAAGATGGAGAAAAGATGTGATAGCACTACTCATTGTGGATTTGTACAAGGGGCAAATTGTAATAATCAGATTATAATGAACATATATTATTTCTGTAATATATCTTAAAATAAATGATGTACTATGATATGAAAAGCATCAGAGACTACGAAGATACATGCTATTCTGAATAACACAATAAACTTAGAGAGGTCTTGGAAAAAATAGGCAATAATGAAGAAGATATTACAGCTCTAAAAAATCTTTACTGTTTGGTAATACTGAACTTACTAATTAGTTCAAAGTTACAGGGAGTAAGACAAGGCTTCAACATTAAATAATACATGTCCAAAATTCTTAATGAAAAAAGTTGATTGACAATGAAGGACTAGAAATTAATGGTAAAGTAATATCAAATAATTATACACTATGCAGATGATACTGCTCTTATCACAGATGGTGAAAAGGCGTTACAAAAGACTAGTTAACAGATTAGTGGAAAAAGGTGAACAATATGGGTTAAGAGTTAATGCTGTAAAGACAAAAATAATGGTTGTTTCTAAATTGGAAATAAATCATAAGAACATAAGAACATAAGAAAGTGGGATACTGCAGGAGGCCGACTGGCCCATACAGGGCAGATCCCTTTCACACCCATCCCAACACTTCCATGTGCCTATCCAACTTCGTCTTGAAGCTCCCTAGCGTCCCCGATCCTACTATAGCACTCGGTAGCCTATTCAACATATCCACAACTCTATTACCAAACCAGTGCTTGCCTATATCCTTTCTGAATCGGAATTTATCTAATTTAAAGCCATTTGTTCTAGTTATTTCGTTATTACTGAGCTTCAGAACATCTTCCATTTTACCCTTGTTAATCACACTTACCCACTTGAACACCTCTATCATATCTCCCCTAACTCTACGCCTCTCCAATGAATGCAAGCCTAAGCTTTTCAGTCTTTCTTCATATGGAAGGTTTCTAATATTATGGATCATTTTTGTCATTCTTCTTTGTACTCTCTGCAAAGAATCTATGTCCATTCTATAATAAGGACACCAGAATTGAACTGCATAATCCATGTGTGGCCTCACTAATGCTAGGTAAAGTTTCAAGATAACGTCAGCAGTTCTGTTACTCACACTCCTAGATATGAACCCAAGAATCCTGTTTGCCTTGTTGCGAACGCTAATACATTGTTTTCTAGGTTTCAAGTCGTTGCTAACAAATACACCTAGATCTTTTTCACAATCTGAGTTTTCTATTTCCGTGTTACCTAGTTTATACTTAACGTTTGTATTCGTCTTCCCTATCTGTAGTACCTTGCATTTATCAGTATTAAAATTCATTTGCCAGTCTACTGACCACTCATGTAAGGTATCTAGATCTCTTTGAAGGTGTTCAAAGTCACTGTCTGAATTTATCACTCTCCCCATTTTGGTATCATCTGCAAATTTACTAATCCTACTAGTTATACCTAAATCAAGATCATTAATGAATATAACAAACAGCAGAGGGCCTAATACGGATCCCTGGGGAACTCCTCTTTTGACCGCACCCCAGTCTGACTTTAATCCATTTATGCGACTCTTTGTTTCCTACCAGTTAACCATGACCTAATCCATTTTAATAATGATCCACCTATTCCATGTGCTTCTACCTTCCTTATCAATCTCTCATGAGGGACTCTATCGAATGCTTTACTGAAATCTAAATAAATTATATCATATGACTTATCATTATCTACCGCTTCATATACTTCTGAGAAAAAGCTAAGCAAATTTGTGAGACAAGAACGTCCCTGGGTGAACCCGTGCTGAGAAGAATGAATTAAGTTGAATGTTTCAAGGTGGCTTCTGATTTTTGTAGCAATAATTGACTCTAGCAACTTGCCTATGATTGACGTGAGACTAATGGGACGGTAATTTGATGCAATTGATTTATCACCTTTTTTGAAAATCGGAACTACATTTGCAAGTTTCCAAGCTTCTGGCACTAGGCCCGATTCTAATGACTTATTAAATAAAACTGCTAATGGATTACTCAACTCATCTCTACATTCTTTTAATATTCTAGCATATACCTCGTCTGGACCAGGCGATTTATGAGGCTTCAGTTTGTTAATTACTTTAAGCACATCGTTACTAGTAATATTGATATTCATCAACATATTTTCTAACTGTCATTATATACCTTATGAACTTCTGGAAACTGTGCTAGGTTTTAATTTGTGAATACGGAGCGAAAATGACTATTTAACGTACTACACATTTCTAACTCATCATCAGTCATTTCTGTCGTAGTTTTAAGGGGACCTATTGTATCTCTAACCTTTGATTTATACAGTTGATAAAAAGCTTTGGGGTTATTTTTCGATTCGTTTGCTACCTTGATTTCATAATTTCTCTTTGCTTTCCTAATTTCTGTTTTTACCTGTCTTGTTAGGTTCTGGTAGTAACCAAGTAAGTGATTTTCGCCTTTCTTAACTTTTCTATATACTCCTTTCTTTTTC